TAATTATAGACAAATCTAAAAATATTTATATCAGTCAGATGAGTTATACATCCTAGAACCAGAGGACGTTTAAAAGCACTAGTTTCTTTCACAAAGCGAGGACTTTAGATCTCATAGCTGTTCAGATCCACAAAATTAATACCATAAATAACTCTTGGGTGATATGACATTACTGCTCTTTCCAAAGGGTTTTAACAAGACCTGCAAGAGCAACTATATTCTAACACTGGAATATCAACGGTTGTTATATTAATAGGTTTTAACTCATTAAAATTATTTTCCTCACTGGACACCTGCCATGCAGAAATTACATTTCTTTTGCCATTTTTATTAAACTTTGAATAAACAAAATGTGTAATTTTTTTCCTTAATGAGATCTTAGCTGCTTTTTACAATGACTCTGAATCAAAACAAACATTTAACTTGTCGTCTTGAGCAATTTCATTTGCTTTTGTTCCCTGCTGTGCTGGAAACATGCTTTGCACTTGCTTTCAATCAGGTATCCCAACCGTTTATCAGGCAGCACAGCATAATATAAATATTATAGTTACAGATTAGCTGTTCCCTGCTGCCATTCACTTCATGGTTTAGATTCCTTGTCATTTACAAATCAAAATGTTTGTGCGCTCAATTATAACATTTCCAAGTGAGAAAAAGAGTATTCCATTACTCCCAAAAGGACTATGGAAACATTTGTGTGTGAAGTACTGTGAAATTCTAAATTCACTTAGTTTCATATTTCTCCATGTCTTACTGCAGCGCAACGTCTCACAGTGATCTAACTTTTATAAAAGGGTTTGCATGCACACTAGAGGTCTGTAATTCACACAGGGTCTTTGTCCGAGTTGAAAAATTACTGAAAGATTGCTGAAAAGAGTCCCTGGAATTCCTGGCACCCACAGCCATCAACACAGCAAACTGTCTCCTTTTGCTTCACCATTGCCTTGGGCAGATGCCTCACAGAAAAGACCCTGCTACTAAGTCCACCCAAAAATGCACCTTTCACCGCGGTGAAAGATCAAACAAAACAGCAAAAAGCGTTGCAGAGGAAAACCCGGAGTACAAACAGTGTAAGTACTCTGAGTACAGGGCTGAATCTATCAAGCTACAGGCAAAGAACAGGTTATTACATTATACACACACACAGGTGTCAGGGAAGGCAGGGAGATGTTTTCCCTCCCAGTGGCCAGGAGAGGAGCCATAGTTCCAGCCCATCTATGTTATTTTGCCCCAGTGATGCAGCCTACCAGGCCGAGGAGAGCGCGCTCCATCGGTTATCCCTGACATTCTGTTGTCAGCTCCTGCTGACATTCCCAACACGGCCGGCCCCAGGTGTCTGAAAAGTGCTGTGTCTGCTCCTGGTGCAGCACACGTTCTTGGGTGATGGAACAAGGGCACATTCTGGATTTTCATCAGCTAAAATAAGAGTAATTAATATTAATTCTCTTCTTCTCCCTTAAAAAAAAAAACGCAAAACTTCTATTGCTCAAGGAGAACAAAGAGCTATCAGTTGTTCTGTGGCAAATTAATCTTAAAGTGGGAATCTTCCAAAGAAAATCAATAGCTTATAACAAGATTCTGCATTGTGTTTGAGCCCTGAAACTCAAACCAGAACCAAAGGGGACTTTCAGCATCACAAGTTTGCTCTTGTTGTGCTTTGGTTTTAGTACAATGTCGTAATTTGAAAGAGTGAAATTTTCACATATGAGCAGTTTTAGTTACGTGTGGCTTTGCCCTCATGGAAGACTTTAGTAATATTTAATATAGACTGTAAGATTACAGGTAGTTCGACCAACTTTAAAGAAATTATTCTCAAAAGAAAGAATTTAATACGAAATCATATTTTTTTTATTCTGCATGTAATATTCTACATCTAAGACATCTTTATTCATTTGTACCTTTCCAAATTAATCTGTTCCATATGAGAAACTTGGAAAATTATGTCTCCTTACATGGTCAATCTTTTTTAGAAAAAAGAAAAACCTAATGAATTTAATCATAGCGCCATGGAAACAGCTTTAAAATTCATTTGGGTGCAGGAAGGGAGGATACGACTCCAACACAGAGAAAGTGACAGGTTTCAGAAGGAAAAAAGTCTGTCTTCATTCAGCACTGGAATCTTTGGGAAACAGCAGTACCTAGCAAGGCGAGGGGAGCTTTTCAAACCATAGTGCAGCAAGATTACTCCAGCACACTCTTCAATATGGTTCAAACTGAGATGTAACAAGGAGAGGTGGAATGAGGCAGAGGCAAACGTGCAGGAATAGGAAACTTGAAATAAAACCACTTGAAAACACTGGTAAAGAACACCAAAGTTCTCAAATACTTGTATTGCAAAGACAGTGCAATACAGGGTGGAGAGATGATTTATAGATCAAACAAAATAACTGTTCTAATTTCTCATCAGTTCAAGTCTGTTAACTCATTCCCACAAATACCTATTGACTGCCTGCAGTCCAGGGGGGAGTTTTTGCACAAAGTGAATTGTGTCTCCTTATGACATTGAGAGAGGTCTCCAGCAGAGCAGGGACACTCTTAGGTGCCGAGGCCCATATCATTTGTTGCAATATGATGTGTTACACGGGACAAACTGCACTGGACAGCATGCTCCTTGCAGTGTGTCTGGGACAAATATCCTATATATGATTATATGTACTTCAGAGTTTCATTTCCATAAGTCCCATCAGTAAAAGTGAGAATTTGACATTGACTCAGGGCTTCCATGTATGGAAGGAGAATTTGATCCTTAGTTTTAGCCATTTCTGCACTAGACATTATGGTTTGCTTGATTAATTTAGTTTATCTAATTCGTTGTCATTCTGGGACTTTGTACAGAAAGAATTCTACCCTGAACAGATTTCATAACGTATTTCTTTGATAATTCGCACTTTAGTTTGGCTACCAGAGTGAATAGTTGTACATAAAAATACGTTACTAAGCCTAAAAATTTCACTGAGCGCACAGTCCCCAGAACCACGATGTCATCAAAGTTCAGTAGTACCACAAAGTGATGACTAGTGAACCTATAGCCTCTATGTGCTACAGAGTAAACACTGTCATTAATTCTTTACAAGACTTTTAAAAAACATACTGCGTTCCTCCTGCTTCGCAGCTGTCAGAATTTAGCAGATGACTTCACTGGCTGCTTTGACATTTTTACTTTTTCGTTTCAGTTTGGTTCGTTCACTTGCCTTAGAAGTGCTTACTGTGTGAATTGTTAAAAGGTCAACCAATAGTTCCCAATCCAGACAGGACAAATGTAACTCAAATTAACACATTATATCAGTAATTTTGACCCTTACCTTGTTGTTTTTTGGTCTGTGAACCGTTAGTTGTAAATAGTAAAGCTATGTGCCAAAGATCTTCTAATCTTACTAATGCAAGTATTGTCTTTCCTTTCAGAATTTCCACTACCCCTTTTTACATCAATGTCTGAGCATTAAAACAGCATCAACTGAGGGATTTGAGGGGTGGTAGAAGGACAATGCTTGGTGGATTTTTATATTAGGAAAGCTCATCATTTCTGATTTTGAGTAATTTACTTATAAAAAGAATGCATTTTACTGTCAGGGCAGAGTGTAGGAAACAGAACTGTCTGAACACTCCCAGAGTTTGGAAGCATAATTTATTTCTCAGCTTATCATAGTCTGAGATAATGGTGTAGGTTACACATAAATTAGGATGCTGATGTAATTCAGATCACTACTAATACACGTTGGTGGACACCTATACTTGGATGGCAAAGCAAGGCTTTGTCTTTTTAACTTGATTGTGCACTGCAGATCATGTAGGAAGGTCATTTTTGCAGAGAAAGTCTTACAATTGAAGCGCCAGACATTGCATTCATCCAAAAGAAAGTCACCAATGCAGGCACTAAGCCCCATTTCAGTGGTTTTTGGGGTGAGGTGGTTTGCGTTTTTTTTTTCCTGAGTACGAACATGGAAAGTACACTATGATGACACTTTTTTACTGGCAGTATTAATTTTTGGCCATCTGTACAGTTAAAAAGACTACCAGACCTGATCTTGTTCACAGTTTGTAAGTGCAGAGATTTCAGTGGACAGCCTTTAGATTTATGCCAGCAAATGAAACACGCACCTGAGTTTTAAATACAAACGCCAGGCTGCTGCAATCCTGAAAATGCCAGACCAATAACCTTGCTTTTCTAATTGACATCTGAAAAGTCAGAAAGATATCTTCAGGCTAAACAACGCTAACTAGCCTTTCCAATTCTTAGAAGTACTTAACTACTCCATATGAGTTCATTGAAGTTGTTAATCTTTTTAAAAACCAAGGCTACCACTTGCAATATAAATAGTAAAAGCGTCCAATGGTCCCAGAGAAATTAAATACAATTGTTCAGGGTAAGACATCTACATATGCAGTGAGAGAGGTGAACTGTGCCTTCATAACTTAAAAGTTCCAGCAAATCATGAAACTAAAGAGCAGAAGGAAAGCTGTAGGAGCTAAGGAGAACCTGGTTAACAATAATACAGTAAGTATCCAACTGTAGGAGCTTTTGTAACCAAGTTTGTGAAATCTGGGGGCAATGAATATTAATATTTTTAATTCTGTGAGTGCTCATTTAAACCATTTCAAACCCATATCCCATGTTTCTTCAGATAGTTCAACCCCTGACTCCTGTGTGTTTGGCTTGAGGCTGAAAAGTATGGATTACTTGATGCCCATGGCAAATGCTGTTGCAACAGGGAAATTATGTCAACCCCTGCAGTGCAATTCATAACTTGATGTGGGCAAATTCACTTACTGGCAATTTAGAAGAAAACATGCTGGTGTTATGCCAGTTGGAGCCAGATGGTGACTGAAATTATTAAAATCATGCATGCTGCAAACCTCTGAAAAATTGCAATGCTACAAAACATCCTAAGCATAGATGGGATCCTAATACAAACCAGCTGGTGTATAGAGAGCGTTTGCAAACAGAGTAGAGTATGATTTGCTATTGTTTAATTGTAATCTTTCCCTTCCCTGTTTTCTAGGTTCAACTAATCCACTATAACCACGAACTGTACACAAATGTCACAGAAGCTGCAAAGAGTCCTAATGGGTTGGTGGTAGTTTCCATTTTTATGAAAGTAAGTATTCAGTATTATCAATGCCTAATGTATAGACTATGGACTACTTTTCCCATGAGCTGTAAATCTAGGAATTGAACTCCTCATTATACAATAGCAGTGCCTTGAAGCTCTGATCTGGAATCCAGAGACAGCATCATCCTAGCAAATAAGCATACAATCTCTGCTCCAAAGAATTCACACTGTACTGTAAGGAAAACAAAAAGGGGCAAGGAGGGGGACAGAATCCTTATATCATAAACATCACTCATAACACTTTAAAGGCTGTGACAAAAGTTATTAATTTTGCAGGTTTGGTATTTCTTCATGAAATGTTATTCATTCAATTAAAAGTAAACCTCTCTTAGTAGGTTGGGACCCTGGGGAAGAGGGCATGTTTGCTCTTTGGAGACACGCTGGTGTTTCTAAGTCAGCAAAAGAAGTTTTTCCTCAATGTTATTTAAAACATCTTAAACTATCAAAACTGAAAGAACATTACAAGTATAACTCCCATTTCGCACAGCTAGAAAGACATGTGAATATTTTGTCATATTTTAGCCTCCATCTTGTTGCGTTCAAGATGCATGTCAGGTCTATAAATTAGAATGATCTAGCATTGAACACGGGACTTCATAGTTTACTCAAATCTCCATAATTAGTTTGGACAAGCCCCTTCTCTCATTTTATATGAGGAATTCATTTCCAAAAAAAACATTGTTCATATTCTGGCATTATGTATCTCTGTTTCACCAGTCTGAAAAGGCATATATTTCTGAGTAAGTGCTTCATGCTGAAATAAGTAGCTTTCATCACAAGACCTTATGTATTGAATATCTATTAATTCCCTTTAGTACTCTTAAATCCTATTTCATAAGGTAAAGTTCCTGATAAAGCATTAACCTCAGAATTAAAATACGCATTTCACGGAGCATACTGAATAATTAGATATGAAAATTGCCCTTTTATACAGATCTAATATTTAAGAAAGATATTTTCATTGCCTTTTTCATTCAAAATATATTATATACAACCAAAAGATCTGACTTGAATTCATGTAAAAGGGTAGAACTGAAGCAAGCCTTCACAATGCCCAGTGTGCCAATTTTGTCTAAATAACGCATCACTCATGTACTTGCTGAGTTGCACGCCTTATAATGAGCAACAAAATTTAGTATCTGCCTCACCATATTTTTCTCTAGGCCTCTCTCACCAGCAGGAAAAGATGTGTTCTGTTTTAAATGTCCAAAGTAGTTAGAAAAATTCATAAGTGGAGAAGTAACTATCCGAGTTTCCACAAAACTGAACCTGAACTGAATTTTCCTGAGGGCTGCCTTTCAAAGAGTACTGGATTACAGTTTGTCCAGTAGTCCATTTGTTTTCCTAAATCTTAATTAAAATTTTTGTGAAGTTTTCCATTTTCAAAATAAATTGAATTCATTCTGGATAAATTCTACATACATAACAGCAGCATCCGGTGTCTGATTAAAAAAAAAACAAACACAAACACCACATCATGGAATAACTGAAAGATAAAGAAGATGTATAAAAGGCTAGCTGCAGAATTATTAAAACGTCTCCATAAAAAAATGTGACACTGATTTTGTTGCTAATCAACTACAATGTTGCCATTTGGAGTGCAATAAAATCTCTTGTTAAGTTATCATTGATAATCAACAATATCATTATTGATAAAGTACATGCATCCTCCATACCCCTCCCAGAAAAACAACACAACAACAATATCTCTAAGCCCTCTATCATTTTTCCTCTAAATCCTCGTCAGGTATGCTTCTGTTAACGTAGACTGAACATTTTATGAGTATGTACACGTATTTGTGAGTGCATGTGGGCTAAATTTAGGCATTTCATACCCATATATAAAACAAAGGGAGACAGATTTTATTTGCAATCTAAATAGTCTGTTGCAGGAAAGTATATTTCTCAATAGAAAAATTAAAAAATATTATATGAATAGCCCACCTAATTATATTAACCACCTGCAAATCTCAAAGCTGTTGGAGAAGAAACCTCCACTCACACTTGTCTTCAGGCATTAATTACTATTCATCCTGTTCTCTCATCCCTGTTTTTTTGCCTTTATTTTTAGATATCAACTTTCTAACAAGTTTTGTTAGAAAAACATCTATGTAATTATTTCCTCTTCCAACAACAGAGAGGGGGGAAAAAAAGGCAGAAATGCTCTGGATGAGTGGCAGTAAAGAGAGAATGAGTGTGTGTGTACATGTACGTGCACACACAGAACAGCTATGTTGCCAGAAAGGAATTGTTTGTGGGAAGATTTTGACGTTGTACATTTTCTCTTCTGCAGGTATCTGAATCATCAAATCCATTTCTAAATCGTATGCTTAACAGAGACACCATAACGAGAATAACGTATAAAAGTAAGTTTCTTTTCGTTTGCTCTGGCCAACAGCTGCATGCTGTTAGTATCAAATAACGCGTTCAGCAATCCGCTGAAACACGAGGCACTTCGTTATGGGCAAAAATTGCAGTCTGCATTGCCACTAACTGCATAATAAACTGGGGAACCTGAAAAAATCTAGTAGGGTCATCAGTTCATCAAAGGAGTTTTGAACTTGAGAGTCTATTTTATGTTTGAACAAGCAATAAATTAATTAAATTATACTTAACAAATACATACACCGTATTCACACAGGTTACTCAGGAGAAACTGCCTACCTTTAGCAATAAAAGTAACATGCAGAGCAGCCTGGCTTGTATCAAATCAAGTTATGGCAAGATGCTGCGTCATTAACCGCGGATTTAGTACTGGTACAAAACCAAAGCATTAATGAAAGTCATGACATTTCTGTTCAACTATTGCTGCATTTAATGGATATATAAGTGGTCATTTCCATAGCATGTGTATGTGTTGTAGTCATATTTGGAAAGCCTTTAATTAATCTCAATAATTCCATGTTAGTGTATTGAACTTGTGGAAAACTGAAGCTTAAACATCAGTGAAAATTAAGCTAGTTTAGAGAAAATAATGAAAAATACATGTATCTCAATGGAACAAATGTTTTCTCCTGAAAACCTTATTCCCTTTGTCAAATGCTCACTTGAATTCCAAGCAGCCATTAAATTAATAAGTTAAATGGTACCAGAATTTAACTTCCAGAAAGTACACAACAAATTGAAAAAACAAGGAAAGTATTGTAGAACTCAGTGTGTGTTTGTTATTCTGTAAACAATGACTTAACATTTTGCATGAACTTCATTAATCTTGCTTTTGTTTATGAATGCTGGGAGAGAGTTGTTCGTGGCAACTGGAATGGGACTGGTTGTTAGGACTCCAGGATTTGGTTGACAATTCTACTAGGGTTTTCCTCAGTTTACCTCTCTGTAAATTAAATATATTGTACTATATACTCTACAACAACATCGTATCGCTTGGAAAACTTCACATGTGAAACTCCAGAGATCTCAAATGTCCATTTACTTTCCACAAAAGTCACTCAACTTCAGGTTTATGAGGGAAAGGTTTGGAGAGATTTCTATACATGTCTCTGCAGTACACGGTCTGACTTCTTTCCATGGACTCCCTTTTTCCCCTCTCCCTGCAAACCCAGGATTGTAAAAAGAAAACGTGTAGATTTGAGACCAATATAAAGCACAGAATTTTACCCACTAATTCCTAAACAAGAAAGCATTAGAAAGATTTCAAGTCTTGTCATACAATTCCAGATTTGGGCAATGGAGCCAACCCAAACCCATTCTGAAGTAAACAGTTCCTTGTTCTCTCCTACAACATTCAACTTTTTTCACTGATGTTTCTCTAATTTCACCTTACAGTTAACAAATCTTGTTACGTCTTTGGTCCAAATAAGAGGCTTCTATTATGGTTAAATTCTCTTCTCCCTGATACCTTAGAAAGGAAAGCAACATAGGTTCCCCTCGGAATGTTTTTTCCAGATTGTTCCATCAGTATGAAATGTCAGCTTCTCTATGTGGAAGCAGCAGGACATTAGCCCAGTTTGTAAACTGCCTGTCTTGATTCCTTGCAAAAACACAGCAACACTGTTCTGTAGGAGCTTCCTGCCTCCTAGTGCTGCTGCAGCATCCTGGAGACAGGAAATTATTGTTAAGGCTGCACGTGCTTCTTCAGGCTCTTTCACTCTCAAATTGCATATTCCTGGCTTCTGTCTGGAGACCAGCCAGGAGTTCTCTGTACCCCTGAGGAAGCCGCTGTTCCCCACACACACACACACGCACAGACCTGTGGGGTCTCACACACTGAGGAAGAGAAGACTCCTGCCTCATTTTTTCCATCACAACAGCTGTAGCTCATGCATTGCCATGAGTGTCACAGCCTTTTTCGTGCTCCTTGGCCCCATGTGCTGCAACAGCTGGCCAGTAGAGCAAAGATTGGACAACGTGTGGTGGCTCAGAGCAGAGGAGAGGCCACAGTGATGGTTATACAGCTCTGCAGGGCAGGAGGGCACTGGCAGCATCTTGTTGCATGAGTGAGCACACAGCCATCACCCACACCGGCCGGCAAGCGTACCTTCCCAGTACAAAGTATTTTGTTTGCACACTGCACTTAGAAATCGGCACTCCTCCTCCCTGGAGCTGACAGCATCCTACAGCTTTCATTTGTTGCTTTGCCTCTTTGGAAGGAAAATGCTATTCCAATCACACCTAATTTGGGTTTACTAAATGAAATTTCGCAAGAAGATGAACACATAACATAGGCTGTAAAATCAGTGATTAACAGAACTGGTTTAATTTTTCACCACTGTTATCACTAACAAGTTTATCTGCTAAAATTGAATCCTTGGTAGATACAATATGCATAACCTTCTGCAGGGCATTGGGTTACTTACTGTAGTAACAAGTATTGACCAGGAATTTTTTAGTGTAAATTGGGAACGTGAAAGTGTTATTGAAAGTAATTTTGCAGTTGTCTTGCGTGATGGATTATAGCATCATTGCTGAAAACTAATTTTACCTCTTAGATTGTGAGGATTTCTACTCTGCCTTTAGCAGCTGGACTTTTTTAGCTCGTGCTTTAGGGGTCCACTCCTGAAGTCAATACTGAGCAGGCTGCTGACAAAATGACCACTCCCAGTGTGCTCAGCAGCAGCGTGGAGCGAATGATAAGTGGAGCACAGGTTCAGAGCCAGGACAGTGAGTAACATAACTAAAGCACTTTTCTTAAAGAACAGCAACAAAATTAAGAACTATCTATGCTGCTGTATGAAATTTCCACGGGCAAAATGCATTAGAAGGGGAATTTCAGATTTTAATGACTACAGTGAGGTAAAGAGGACCCCAAGGAATTTTTAAGCAGATTTTAAATGCTTTTTTTATTCTGTTATCACAGCCCAAAGAATTCACTGTGAACTAGTTGAAACAAATGTTCTTTCGAACAGACTTTAGTCAGAAGCTATGTGAATATCTCTAAAGAAAAACTGCTTTAATATTCCTCTAAGTATGTGATATTTGAGAGGATAAGTTAGCTTCCTTTCAGAACAGTTATGCTACACTAGCTTTCACCCAGTGTTTGCTTAACATTGGAAAGAAGTAACATTTTAGATTCCTAAAATTCCACATGAAAGTTTGGGATTGTCATTCTCCACCAAAATACTGCCACTGTTCAGCTATGCAGAAGAGCTGTAAAATTCTGAATTTCTTCAAATTCAATTTTTAGCTATTTTATAGCTAATGTACAAGTGAATAACGGATTCCAATTTTAAGAAATTATCCTGAAAAAGCTTAAGATTCAGATTTCTGGAAATGAGAGACTTAATTTCTCAAGGTTCATGTTTCAGGGGGTTCTCTGAAGGACTGTGCTCTTGCTGCTCCTGTCACAGGCAATAAAAGCTCAGCAGTCTCAAATGAGGCCCCAAGGGACCAAGCTCAGGTATTCAAAATGAGTCTCTGTCAGCCTGGGTCTAAGTGACTCATGAAGGCTGGTAAATGGAGAAACTCTGTGTTGAGATTAAAAACTGAGGATCTCTACATTCCTTACCCTGGTATCTGGTTAGAGCCATACTTTCCCCTTTTTGGATTATGACGATATGAACTTCAAAATCAAATGGACCTTCCTTCATGCAGTAAATAATATATTTCCTGTAAATACTACTGTTTTAAGGAGAACACACGTAGAATTTGCTGTGAAAGCAGACCCCACACACCTACTACAAATCTAGGGATAAAAGAGGAAGATTTCCATCATTTGCTAAGAAAATTGTCAGAGTCAAGGGCTTTATGTAAATGAATATGAAATCTAATGAAATCTAATTTGTATAGAGAAGAGTTCATGAGTTCAGAAATCACCCTAAGGCACAAGCAGATCAAGATAAACAAAGCGTGGGCTGCAGATAGGAATGGTGCAGAGAATCTAGTAAAGGCTGAATGGGTTTATTAAAGGAAGTTTATTACTGGCAAGAGATCACATGTGGTGATTTTGACCATTCTTAAGTATGTACTTCCAGTAAATATAAAAGACAAGACACTGAAGTGTTGCAGTCTACTATTAGTGCAAACCCACCAGTTCTGTTTCAGTGCTGAAAAGAGAAACCTTTATCAGGATGTGGTGAAAGCGAAAGAGCAGAGCTGTTCATAGGAAAAAGTGTTCATAACCAAATGCTTATTCTGTAGTCTTTCCTTGGGCCATTCTCATGGAGACATCTGACTTCCTATGGGAATAAAGCCCATAAACAAGCATGAATAAATACTGCCTTTACTTGTCCGAACTCTTTAATTTCATTATTTCATTCGCCTCTATCTTCCCTTTTCCCTGAAGTGATACTTTCCTCCAGTTTTCCATTAAGGACAATTGATGGAATTTGACACTTAGCATAACTCACCATCTCTCCTTTAACATATTCCAAGACAGGGACAATGAACCAGGTTTCGAGCCACTTCACTGCTGGGTGCTGGTAGAGGAGATGGCCACGCATTCTGTAGGTCAGTCCTCAATGTGCAAACAAGGTAACCTAAGCAGTTGATCTGAAGCTCAATAAGACTGTGGAGAGCATCTCTCCTGAACTTGAGAGGGCTGGCATATGTCAGGCTTGCCTGAATTAGTAGAAGCATGAATAGTTTGAGTTGGAAGGGACCTTGAAGATCATGTAGTTTTAATCTGCCTGCCATGGGCAGGGACACCTTCCCCTAGATCAGGTTGTTGGAAGCCCCATCCAAACTCGCCTTGAACACCTCTAGGGATGGGGCAGCCATAACTTCTCTGGGCAACCTGTGCCAGTCCCTCTCCACCCTCATAGTGGAAAATTTCTTCCTTATATCTAATCTAAATCTACCCTCTTTCAGTTTAAATCCATTGCCCCTTGCCCTGTCACTACATGCCCTTGTAAACAGTTCCTCTCCAGCTTTCTTGTAGGTCCCCTTTAAGTACTGGAAGGCTGAATGGCCATGCCCTACACTGCTCCATGCCATATTCCACCCCTGGAGCATTATTATGTTCTGAGAATGACTAAACACTAAATCCACAGACAAAAGTTAGAAGCCCATATCAAAATAAAGAATTACATTCTCTATTAAAGCAATGTCAGGCAATTCCAAACCCCCCATGATTACCTGCACTAATGCTAGCATTAAATCTCTTTCTGTATCTTCCATTTGATAAGCAGTCCTATTGTTAATAATCTGTGCACCGCTCTGAATACAAATTAGTCAACTAGGATGTTGCACACACACAAAAACATATATATCATCAATATCCCTCATCTGTATTAATCTTCAGTTAGTTTTCCTTCTCCTAGTAAACATTTCAGGGCAAACTCCACCTTGTTTAAGTCATTTTAGCACAGCCAAAGTTAATGTAGATGTGACAAAGCAGATTTGGTCCTTAGAGTTTGAAACTATCTATTCTGACTGACTTTGTGCCATTTGGAACTAATGCACCACTCTCCATGGTTCATAAATAATGAACAGGATGTTCATGTGGGAAAGGGAAAGGTGTATGACGACTCATTGAAAACAGGCACTGACTTAAAAAAATGCATTTGTTCTTTTCTCATACAATTCCAGCAAAATTACCGCTGCATGTTTTTAATGAATAGGACCCAGGTGTGATCAGTCATCTGGCTCTTAAAATTTAACAGCATTTTGACTCTAATACTACAGCAACGGTTTTGCACTTTTGTCTGGAAAATTTGGGGTTTAGAAAAACTCCGTATCCCAGGTCATGGACCAGTGGAGGCTGAGTGTCTTTAAAAGGGTGAGTCAGCCACCTACGAGACACTAATGGTGCTTTCACCTCTGCTTGAGCATCCAGCGGTACGGTGTGGCAATTACCTGGCTCCGTGTGCAAGAACATGGCAGAAGGCTGTACTTCTGACAAACTTGAAAGGACATGCCAAGGTTATATTTCATAAAATAACAAACATTTAAAATATGAAATAACTGTAAGGCACTAGTCAATGTGGTATACGTGTTACACTCTGACCTTGACACTAACTGATGGCGTAGCCTCTAATATTACTACCCCAGAAACCTGTAGCGTGTTGACTGCACTATATCAAAATTAAAAAGGTCACATTTGCTTTGCCTGTGTTCTTTGATTTTCTGTTATCCAAGACAGCAGTCTGCAGTCTTTTTTTTCCCCATTAGATAGTATGAGTAAAGCATTTTGCTCATCTAAGTTTTGTCCTTCAGCTATAACATGTTAAATTCAAGTTAAATTACCCTTTCTTTTTTTAGTTCTTATATGCTTCCCTGATCATTCGTATTTCTTTCCTGGGTTCCATTTACCATCTTTTCCCAGTGGCCAAGGAACCGTTTAGCAGCATTTAAAAAAAACCCAAAAAACCAAAAAAACACCCACAACTCTCCACACAACACCAAAACTTGTTTAAACTTTCAGTGAATGATACATGAAAAACATCAGATAATCCAACAGAAATACCTAAATTATCGGCATTGACTTCAAAGATGCTCTTTCAACGTTTTTCTTTAGCCTGAGCAGTATCTTCTTTTATTTCTACTACATTCCTTGCCTTTTATTAAAATCAATGACAGTTAATCTGATGTATTGAAAGGGGAAACACCTAAACATGCAGCTTCCCTTTGCCTCTGCAAATGAATCGTATCGAACACACGATGTGCACGTGAAAGTACGTAAAGAGATTTCCCATTGCAGCTTGTAACCAGCCCAGCTTTCTCTGAGGTACTCAATAGCAGGAGCATTTAAGTAGTAAAGTGTATATGTCCCTGAGTATTTCCTATTAAAGAACTCCTACAGCCTAAGATTTGGCAGGAAAATCCGAGCTCCAGTTTTGACAGCACTGCCAAAAATATTGTAGGGCCAACATTACACACAGGAAATAGTGCACATAGTATAGAAAAGGCTGAGGAACTTGGATGAATTTTGAAAGATATAACCATATCTCATTATGTTTGGTACATCTCCACAGAGTGAATTCTGTTGCAAAGCGATACATCATTAATTCCCTGGGAGACTTGCGAGAAAAGCAGGGACCCTAGTCAGCTGCTTTCCCGCATACTTTTCCACCCTGATTTTAGCATTCTGCATGAGCTTGCACTGCACCCACCTCCACTGAGCACGAGGGGCCAGCAGGCTTCACTGAGCACCTTGATTGTCATGATTAACCGTAACTTCCTCCTGTGGTAGAAGGGCAATTAAGTTTTAACACTGTTGGCCTTCCCAAGGCTTTGCTGAACAAAAATTGTTAATTGCTCCAAAATATGGTAAGTCAACATTCTCCAGACTGCTGGATCTAAATCAGTAACTGCAACTTGAGGAAGTTTTTACTTCCAGTTCTCAAAAATTATCCAGAGTTTCACTGTGAATGTTTGTGCTGAACTCCCAGGTGCGCGTGGGCATCTAAGAGCAGAACTCAGCCCAAGCAGGATTAGTGAATTCGTGTCACTTGTTCTTGCCCAAACCGCTGAAGCATTCAGAAATGTGTGTTCATTACACTTCGTATTTCAGTAAAACTGATGATGATGTTGTAGAGTAAGGATTGTACGTAAAAAGAGTGGAATTTTTTTTTTTGTGAAGCTATTGTTTTATTTCAATTGTTTTCCTTCTTTGTTCTCCAGATGATGCATACTTACTACAGGGGCTTAATATTGAGGAACTTTATCCTGAGACATCTAGTTTCATTACATATGATGGGTCAATGACAATTCCACCCTGCTATGAAACAGCAAGCTGGATAATAATGAACAAACCTGTCTACATAACAAGAATGCAGGTAAAAGTAATTAACTCAATCTCGTATAGGTACAAAGTAATATTTTAAACATAATATTTGTACCTTTACATACAAAATAAAATTCAACCTTTTGCTGGAGGAATCTCTGCAATTTATGCAGTTTGCAAAAACACTGAAAAGTTTTTGTGCCAAAATAAAAATACTGACTATTTAGAGCTCTCTAAGTGTCTATACACACACACGTAACTTTGAGGTGAGCCCTACTTTCAGTGAGGGTTTAAACTAAATTATTTCCAGCAGTCTTTTCTAAAATAAATTATTCTATGATTCTGTGATTAGATATATGGGGATTCTAAAACAAACACAGCAGTGTGGTATAAAGATAACTGAAGTATAACAGAGGCCATTCTTAGGTCAGAAAGAAACGGACAAATTGAGTGACACTTACGGCCATTTAAATAGAGTACCATGACAGAGATCCAATATATGGGGCCTTCCAGAAAAAAAAAGATAGTGCTTTCTAGTACAGAATGTAAGATAGATATTGCTAATGTCTTCAGAAGAATCAGATTGACAGACTGAAGCCTCTATTAGAAAGAAGCAGGATAAATTATGCAAAAGAAAACGTGATTAATTTCATAGTCAGAATTATGCTGTTGAGGAAACACACCAGTGGAAAAATCGTAAAGATTACATTTCTGTATGACTCACAATCCAATGCCTAACCTCAGAAAACAACAAATTTAACACCAACTGCAGTCTTCTCCAGAACTTCCATCAGTGAGTTGCCTACAGAACTGTGAGCTGAGCTAAAAGCTCTTCTCTTGCATACCGGAATCCCAAAGGAATACTTGAACCACCATCTGCCTGTCCCAAGCATACAGCAGAAGCAATCTGGCCTGAGAAATGAAATGAGGAATGATAAACCAACCCTAAATGTTACTTTGGGATTTAAAATAATAACAACATTGTAAATAAGATGACTTTAAAAAGCCTGAGAGATGTTTTATCTTTGTGATATTCCTTCTGTCCAATTTTGTCTGGGTGCAGAGAAAGCACTTTGTTTCTTTTCTAAGTGAGTAATCTGGGAGAATGACGCAGCTGAGCACAGGCAGACATGCTGTACATTCTGAACTTCTCAAGCAGGGGACCTGAACGTTTTCCTACAAGCAACATTTTTAATTACAACATTAACGTACACAACAAGAACTAGAACCTAGAGTCTATGCTAGAACCTATAAATGATAATCTCATTATACGTACTCATCATGTTTTACTGGTTAGTTACGCCCTCCATTATTAGTGCTGCAAATTGATTTCATGGAATACTTCGTAATTACATTGTGTACTCAGACTGAAATAGTAGTGCACAGCTCAAGCTTTCCCAGGAAGCTGCTAAAGATTTTCAGTATGTAAAACCCAGATATAGAGTTTCCCCATTTAAGCATTAAATCCCACCACAAAACCTTTTAAATTGTACACTGACATGGAAAATATTTTATTTTTAAACTAAAATATTTCGAGGGTTTCTGATTTACAACTTCTGATTTGCAGCTTCCCCCCATCCCCTATTCTTCCAGTTTCCTATACAAAGTTTGAAAGATTTTGGTGGCCTTGAATCAATTAGCATGTTTTTAGCACAGTTATCGTAAGAACCATTGCTGTCTTCTTGTAGTTTGCATCCAGGCACTGCTGGGCGCTCTGAAAATCCGGGATGGTTCATTAGTTCCCCCTCTGCTGATCCATAAAACCATCTCAAAAGAAGGCCAGAGTCTACCGTAAGAACTCTGCACACACAGCACAGACAGTATCAGGACAGACCTCTCCGTAGAGAGAGGATTTCACTTAACATCATTAATTTCATGACTTAAGCAGCATGACTGTCCAGTTATCCTTTCCATCCTGACTGGCCATAACTGGTTCTTGAGTACCATCATCCAAAACTCTGTCTTCTCAACTGGAAGGTGCACTAATAGCTACAAAACTTAGGAAATTAGCTCTTGTCATTCATCAAGTTCATTTTATCTGCAACTGCTGCCATCCAGTACTCCAGATTCCATTTGTTTCCTGAGCAGCCAAGGACACCTCGGACTATTTTCATTTACTCCACACAAAACTAGTTACTTTTGTTTAAAATGGGGCTCAGAAACAGAGGACCACAGAAGGAACAGTTTTACCTCAAGTTAACTCTTTCAACTCACCTCTGACTACAAATCACTTATATTCTGTTTAAACTTTCATTTATTAAGTAGTCTACTGAATAGTGTTCAGTGTTGTATGTTGTTTACTTACATGAAAGACCAGTACTAAAAATCCTTGTTTTGTATTTTGTGTAGATGCATTCTTTACGACTGCTAAGCCAGAATCAGCCATCACAGATATTTCTGAGCATGAGCGACAATTTCAGACCAGTCCAGCCTCTCAACAACCGATGTATCCGAACTAATATCAACTTTAGTTTACAGGGAAAAGATTGTCCAAACAATAGAGCACAGAAACTACAGTATAGAGGTACGTTCTACCTCCAGAATAATCCTTTCTATGCTGACACTGAGCTCTTTTCTTTGAGAAACCCAAGTGTGTAAAAAAGTACACAAATAAAAACAGATGAAACTCCAGATCTGGGGGACTAATGGTTTGAGTCAAATATCACACGTTTGAAATGGATGAGGAAACTTGCCTAGAAACACGCAGGAAAACCATGACAAAACGTCTGGGACATCAGATTTTTTTTAAAAAACAGATAGGACAGACCTTCAGTTTTCTAGCCTCATTTTCAAGTCTTCTCACCTTACAAAGTACATTTTGCTCTTTTTTACCCACCTTGGAAAGAAAAAGGGGCATCAGTTAGTCTTGGTGACAGCTGATCTCGAACAAAGGAAAAAGTTTCACTTTGGAGGTGCACCACCATAACGAACACCCAAATTGGGAAGTTCTGTATCACACGATGGATATTAAATAAACCCACCCAGTCTCATGCTGGTAGGGCATTACACTACCTCAGCGGGAGGCTCGCAACTGAGCTGTAGTGCATTTTATGAATCTTTTAGCCTACGCACACTTTTAATCACCTCAATAACAACGTAAAAGTGCCTTCTTATCAATAATATTATGATTATGAAGTAGTACTATCGAAGGGTGGAAAAGAAAACATTTTCAGCAACAAGGCTGATGACTGAGTTACAATACTTCAAAGAAACAGTCATTCAGCTTTGATTCTTTTTCAGAAAGATGAGGAAACTAAGTGTCCTGTATTTTTTCAAGACAGTTTAAGCGCTTAATGCTGTGTTAAATCCAGCCAGTTTCATATTTGGAGTTTATTAAAGTGTAATTGTTTTGTTTTGTTTCTCTTTCCTTTCAGTAAATGAATGGCTCCTCAAGTAAGTAAGACAGAGCAGGCAGAACCCATAACCTCAGTGGAATGCTACTACTGTGAATTGACATAATCTAGAATGCACCCAGCCTCACTCTCTTTGGGTTCACGGCAGCATGTGCAAACGTGCTGTAGGAAAAGAGCTGCCATGTTGGAAACAACTAAAAATTCATTCATATGATCGGTGGTATTCAAAAAAAAAAAAGTAAAAAGACAATATTACAGTAAATGTGATTACAATTTTGATACAGTTTTCCTGAACTAATTTAGCTTCACAGAAAAAGACTTTTCAGCCTTTGTACATATGAAATTCTTCCTCTTTTCCCCCCCTCCCTCAAATTAAAAAAAAAAAAAAGAAAAAAGAAAAAAGGTGGCTCGGTACAGCATCAAAGTGGAGTTGTGTTCTGTGTGCCAAGTAATCCTTGGAAAAGCTCTCATTATTTCACTGTCATTAATGGATACTGACAAGACAGAACAAGACGACTGTAGAGGAAACTTATTTCTAGGTTATGATCTTTCTGTTCATTTAATTAAAAAAGAGACAGACTTTGAGAGATAACTGTTGTAAATATATCACTGCAGAATATAAAGGAAATTGAAATATTTCCCTCTTTGTCACATATCTGTAGTAGGATTTGCCAAAAATCAGAATCAATCCATTTTCTGTTTCTCGTTTTACAACAGGTCATACGTTGTGTTGGTTACTATTAACAACTCAATAAATGTGTTTAACAAATTAATTTAGTAAACTTGCTTTGATTCTCCCCCCTCCCCCCCCACTTTTCTGGAAGAAGCCTCTACTACTTGTGGCTGCATTATTTGTGATTTTCTCTCCCCCCTCCCTCCCTTTTCTTTTTTTTTCCTTACTTCATTTATTTGTTTGCAGCCAGTTTAAGTGAGTTAATGGCAATTGGGAACACGCTTAAAGCTACTATAACTTTAACTCCACTTTATAGTCCATCATTAATCGGAAAGAGAGAGCAGTTGAAACATCTCAGTTTAAAATTGCCATTTTCCCTGCTGAGTCCATTATTGGGCTAAACAAATTCAAATCCTGTAAATTGGTGGTGGAAAGGGATATCTTTTCTTTACAGATAAAGCAGGAGCTGACCAAGTAAAAGCAAATGCCTTTTTTCTTGTTTATAATGGTCATTCACTGTGTTTGGTTACTGTCAAGAGCTCAATAAATGTGTTTAACAAGTTCACATGGTGCATGTTTGACCTTTTTACACATTAAGGGATTGTTTGTGGGTTTTTTCTCCCCTCTGGAGACAGGACAGCCCTCATGCTATTCTGCTACTAACACTCACTTTATAACCCATAACATGTTGAAGTTAACAAAAAATAAAATGAAGCTAGAAAGTACCATGCCTGACCAATGAACTGTTTATGCCAAATGGAAGAATAGACACTAGA